ACATAAACAATTCTCAAACCCCCCAATATCTTCCCCTACCCTCAACCAAACCCTCTTACCCCCACTCATAAAACCTTCTAACCTATACCCTCATTCACCAACTACACCACCACATCTACCTACCCATCCATCAACCTAAACCCCCTTAACTATAATCCCTTATTTCAACCCTCCCTCCCAACCCCTCCTACCTCCTACACTCATCCCCCCAACACATTCACATAACCCCACCTACCAACATCTAACCACTTCAACACTATAAACAAACATTACCACAACCCCCTCCCTTACCTCCTCTTATCCATCATCACCCTTCTTTAATATTCCTCTTCCACATATTCACCTTCACCCATCCTCCACAATTCCAAAATACAATTATCCATAACATTCCCCAAAACTTTAAACTATCCCCTTCCTCCTACTACCCCCTCCTTCAACCCCCCAACCATACACCCTTAATCATCCATAATATTTACACCCATCTCCCATTTTTACCCTTACCCCTTTGTGTTATTTCCATAAAACCTTCTTCATCCCCACTTCCCTCACCCCTCCCACTAATTCCCCCTACCATTCTACACCATCCCCTTTATCTACCAACCCCTTTTCAACCACATCTCCCATACCTACATTGTCTGTTCCATACCATTCCCCACCATCACAGTTCATAACCTCTTCCATCTTTTCTATAACCTCACCACCTTTTTATCCCCTAAATTCGTTCCCCATTTATACTTTTTTTGTTCCCTCATCACCCATCTCCAACCAATTATAAAACCTACCACAACAACTCCCATCCCCACCCATTCCAGCCTTTATCCTTTCCACCACTTCACATATAAACATATTGTTCCTTTATACACAACCATCCAACCACCATATAACTCCACATACTTATATTATTTCCACTATTCTCATCCTTTATAAAGAATCATCTCAAATTACCCCACACTTATTTAAATTACAAAACTTTTAACCACTAATCTTCATCGTTATCATAGCTATTAATTATTATCCATACACCATTCATTACCCACCAACCCGGCACTATTCCTTTACTACTCTGCACTCACCCCCCCCCCTTTATCCATACTGACTCCCCTAACTCCGTTACCCACCCCACATGTTTTGTTTCTTGCCACGCCCATCCCGATTTAAATCTGTTCCCATTTGAACTCCCCTATAATATCCCCTTTTCACACATTATCCCAACTTTATGATTCAATTTCATTAACAATTGAACCCACTCTAATCTTCCTACTTTTTCCTTGACCCATATCCCAGTCCCCCACCAGTCATTTGCTATTTTTCTTTCCCATATTATCCTGAACAAATTACTTCGTGTCCCGCATAGAATATTACTTACTTCATTTTCATTATCCGTCCTGTTGCAATAAAATATGATGACATGCCATTCAACTTCTGTCTATTCTTATTCATTGCTTACTTATTTATCCTTACATCACTATATATGTCCCCCCCCCACCTCCAGTTTTGCACCATCTATCCCTGTACTACCCACGTTTTTTAAATTTCTCAACTTATAATTACTTTTGCTTTAGCTATAGACATCTACCCTTTTCTTTTACTATTATTATAACATGAGTTTTTCTAATCCCCCCCCCACCCTGCTTGTCATATCCACTATTTTGACTACATCACACCTCCATGAAACCCACTTAATTTTCCTTGGAATGCTAAAATTTATACTAACCCTCCCTAGCTCTACATTAGATGAATTGTAACACTCAGATCCACCCCCCATATTAAAGTCCTTTACTGTGACTCCCTATCTCTTTGTTCCTGTTTTAACATTATGTTTACAGTAGTAAACCGGCGCCCCTGTCTAACGTCATACCTCCCTTTTAGGGACAGTCAGCACTAGTGGCCGGTCTCGAATGTTACCGCACCGGCCTTGGCCGCACGTACCCACATTACCCGGGCCTTAATAACACTATAAAGAAGAATTTGGTGTGATATCAACCGGGATTGTTTTCTCACAATCGAAATTATTATATCTTCATTATAATGAGTTTTCCCGACACACATTTTTTTTAAGAATACACCCATGTTTTACCTAAAAACCTACCCCCCTTATAAAGATTCCCCCCAATAAATTTCTCTAACTCCTATGTGAAATTGATTAGGCACAGATTATACGGATTCCCACCTTACCCAGGCACTCCCACAACACTATACACCCATCCTGTCATCCCAATTCACCCAGCCAGAGAAGTCAATTTGATCTCACTCCCTTTGCACCCAGTGTGATTCCTGCAAACCTGTCCAAAGATCCTCCAATGAGTCTGAGTCCATCCCATTGTCCTGATATATTGCCCTCTCACAATATCGGATACTGATCCAGAGCATTAAGATACCTTCACAGTCCCCAAATATGTAAACCATACTCTGATCTGTTCAAGGAACAATTACCCTAAGGCCCTCCCACATCCCTTCATTAAAGACCCATAGCACCATTGTGACACAGTATCCCTGTCATGTATACTGCGGGCCTTCCAACCTTCTTCCCCCTCTTGTCATCATGCCATATCCTTAACACTTTCTTTTGTGTCAACAAATTTTCTGCCCCACCCAACCCTACCTGTAATTATACACCCCTGACAATTCCCTACAATATATATTATATCCTTCTTTGTATAGCCCCCCCACATCACTGCTCCCTCTTAAATGACTGGTAACCAACACGTCCTTCGACTCATAACCCCATAATTCAGTGAAACATTCACCATTTTTTATCTTAATAGTCTCATTATCCTCGTTGACACCTTTCCTCACCCTTAGTCTCTCAATGATCATATGTGATTACGTGTATTTTGAAGTCACTAGTACAGCCCTAGACTGTTTTCGGTATCATAACTGGCTTATCTTAATTACTTTGATGTAGTAATGGTTCTGCTTCTGTTTACATCAGAACATGAGGCCCAGACCATTGTCAGTCACCCCGGTGCACTATCCTTTGACCTCATACCTATATACTCTACTACCATCTGCCTTATCACTTCGGTCAGTTATACCCAAGAAACACCACTTACCTAAACCACAAATTACCCTGACCGCCACCTCGCTCACAGTATCTCACTGACATCAGGAGCCCATGTGACCACTTGTACTATTCTCCTTCAATTATCCCCACATATCATGTGACTTGTATGTCACCAAAATTATCCTCCGCTAAATTCCTACAAACCGACACACACAAATACTTTGTGTCCCCCAGACACAAAGTATATAGTTCGTACCTTTAAGTCAACTTCCTTACCTCATCCTTTACATACCCAAAATCCCATTTAGACAATAAGTGTTTGTCATATACTGCCCCATCCTCCATCACAACCCAACTCCCCCCATAAAACAATCACCTATCCACAGCTTAATACCAACTTGACTAACATTTGCCCCTATCGACTAACTTCTAATTTGAGTTCGTTAATTTATTTACATTGCCATACATGTCTCTCTTGTACCCATTCATAATTCACCCCTCAGTCTAATCCATCACATCCCCCACTTGCCTTCCTAACGTTATACCCCCCCCCTAATCTTCTCAGTACAACCCCCACCCAGCATCGCTACTCGACCATCCCATTCACCATTACTTAGACCAAATCTACCCTTACCCCTCATTACATCATCACTTCATACCATTTTACCAAATAACATATCAATTAACCCCCTGCTCTTCTTTTTTAACCATACTATCACCATGTCCTTTCACCCTACTACAATCTTTCCATATTTATACACTCACCTTCCCTTCCACATCTTCTTCCCCTTGTTACATTCCACCTTCATTTTCCTCTATATAACCCCCCACCCATTTTTCTTCTTTAATACATAACCCAATCCGCACATCACATTCACCAATACGCCTTCACAATATATCTTTACGTCTTCTCCTCAGACCCCCCCATTTCACACTCCCACTAAACAATCAGCATACTTAAAATCCTCTTTCAACCCCTTAAATGAATTCATACTCAATTACCACCTTCCCAACTTCTGACACATAAAAAAAAAACCTTAATAGTATACTGAATCCATAAAACCATTAAAAAAACAAAATATTATTAAAACGATAAAACCATATAAAAAAAAAATCTTCAAAACCATAATACCAACCCCCAAAACCTCCCTCCCTCTATTCATAATTATTATCCCCCCTCCTATTTAATTACCATAATACCCAAATTCTAATCCCAAATTTTACTCCCTTAACCACTCACTTCATAAAAAACCCCCCCCATAATTTTTACCCCCACCCCCAAAATTACCCTCCAAATCCCCCCATTCACACCACATAACATACTTCCACCCCATCTAATCCTCCCATCTTCTTTATCCTCTCCATCACATCCCCCACCAATCTCCCCCCCCAATAACCCTAACCACTCCACCTCTCACTACCTCAATCCCCATATATATCCATATATATATTATATATATCTATCACCCTAACCACTCCACCCCTCCCACAACCTCAATCCCCATATATATAACCCTCAATCCTAACCCTCCCACACTTTCTCCCACATCACTTATACCTCCCCTACCCAACCCACCCTAACCTCCCCTCCCCTCCACTAACACTCTACTTAATAACCCATATTAAACCATCCCTACTACCCACTAACCAATCAACACCCCACCCCTCCCCCAACAACACTCCCCCTCTCAATTCACATAAATCCCCCTCCCACCTTCTCCAATTCACCCCCTTTCCCTCTACTAACTCACCCCCCACCATCCCCTCCCCAACCATCAACCCACACACCCCCTAACCCTCCCCCACCACCCTCACATAATCCACCATCATCCTTATCCCATAACCCCCATCATCCCCTACCCCCACCTACCCCCCAATCACCCCCCCTTATCTCCCCCCCCACATTCTACCAAACCCCACCCCTCCAACCATCCCTTTCCTCACCCCAAACCCCCTCCCACCCCAACTCAACTCACCACTACTCCCCCATTACCCCCTATAACCACACCCCCCCCCCCCCCAAACCCCCTTTCCTACTCCCCAATTTATCTTTCACACACCTCCCCCACCCCCCTTCTCCATACCCCCCCCTTTCTATTCCCTCCTTACACCTCCCCCACCCCCTCCTTTCCCCCAACTCCATTTTCACCCCCCCCCCCCACCCCACCACTACCCAAACCACTCCTCCCTCCACCCCCCCCCTACTCAAAAATAAATTCCCCTACTCCACCAACCCCCCCACATCCCACTCTCCCAACCCCTCTCCCACCCCAACCCCCCCCCCCCCCCCCCCCCTACCCCCCCCCATATTCCTATACTCCCCAATCACCCAACCCAAACCAAAACCCAACCCACCACCCCCCTATCCCCTATTCTTCTTTAATCACATCATTACTATTTTTCCCTTAATCCTCTTCACCTTTCCTACCCCCAACTCCACAACATATTTCCCCAATAACACCACCATTCCATATCTCCCCCCTCCTCTTATCACACCATATTACCCCACACCCCTCCACCCCAATCCCATAACTCCTCATCTTCCCTCCCTTCCACAACCCCCTCCCACCCCCCCAACCCCAATCACCAACACACCACACAAAACCACCCCACCAACTTATAATAATAATTCTCTCAACCAAACACCCCTTCCTACATACAAATCCTATCCCTTATTTCCTTCTAACCCCTTCCCCCTATCTTCCCAAAATCTACATATCCCCACCTCTCACCCCCACATAATTACCCCTCCCATCAAACACCCCTTCCCCCCCATCATATTACACCTATTTCATACCCTACATCCTCCACCCCCCATACCCCCCACCCCTCCTTCTCACCCCACCCCCACCCCTCAAACCCCTTCATTCATTCCAAAAAAACAACCCTCCTATTCTCCCTTCCTCCCATCACCTATATCAATTAAAACTCCACTCAATCTCACATTCCTAAATATCTAAAAGCTTACCCCTTTCCCCCCCCCCCCCCAACCCCACTTCATAAAAACATCTCTAACTCATCCCTTATCCTCTACCTATATAAATCTCCCTCTCCTTTCCTACAATTCTATACTTCTCCATCCAAACCCTCTATTACCTTCACTCTATTTATATTCCCTAACTATCACACCCAAAAACATCCTACATAATACCCTATATATAATCACCCCCATACCCCCCCCTCTGTCCTCCTAATCAACCACACATTTTAATCATAATACACCTTCTCATCATCTATCCATCCCTCAAATAACCCTCCACCCACTTTATTTACCCTAAATTACCCAATCCATTTGTCCTTCATCTTATCACCTTTAACACCTCCATCCTTACAACCAACTTCATACAATAACTATTCAACCCCATATCACTCAACACCAAACTTAACAAACCTAACATTATAAATCAACCTACCCACTACATACTATTCTCCCCTACTCTCTCTTCACCACATCATCCACCCCCCCCCCCCACCCCCCCCCCCTCACTTTACTACCACGAACTTAATCTATATTCATCGCTAATCCCTCTCAATAACTTCCTATCCATCAACCCCAAACACCCCCACCCACCTCAATCACCACACTAACATATTTTCATTCCCAAAACAACCTTACCTTGTATATCATCCCCCCACTTACCTCAATACCCTCTCCCAAACTTTCTAACTCCCTATACCCATGTTTCCACCCCCAACCATATTCCCCACATCTTCCAATTAATATTCTCTTACATCTCCCTCCACCTTCCCCCCCCCCCACAATCACCCACAGTTTACCCACGATACACTCTTCATCTTTCTAAACCATCAAGCAATGGGCACACTGCGTTATTATTCCTATCTCTCTTCCACCTTGCCCACCATTACCATCACTTCTATATACTCTCTCCTGCCCCTAATACTCTCCCATTTCCCAATTCGTATCCAAAAGTTATTTAACCCCTCCAACGTTGTGTTATAATCCAAATCTTTATAATATACCGGGTCATTACCCCAAACTTCCCCCTCCAAATACCCCCATACCAACCCACATCTATTCCCCCTCCCGACATCCATCTTCTGTATTCATTCATACATTTAAAAAATCACACCATAACAACACACACAACATATTAAAAACACACCACCAACACCCTTACAATCCCACCCAAGCAATAAACCCCTAAAAACCTTTCCCAACAAATAACACACACCCCAAATCACACCCAAACACAATACTTTTACATCGTTCAATCGCAATGGATAAACTCCATACTTTTAAATACTTCAAACATCACATACTTATACCAGGCTTTGACCCTAGGACCGCTTAGCCGCCACCTCACCATTTCAGGTTCTATTTAGAATTATAGCTTCCCATTCACATACCAACTCCTCCCACCCCCCTTATTTACAAACCACATTCCCCCCTCCTTCTTCCCTACCATATCACCACCTCTACCTTTTTCTTAACCAAAATCCCCCCCCCATTCCCACTACAACTTTATCCCTTCCCATTCTTCCCAATACCCCCTCTCTCATAATAACCCCACCACAACCATATTTCTCCCCCCCTTCCTCCCCCTTATCTTACCATCTTATCCAACATTACCCACCAACCATTAAATAATTCCAACTATCATCCAAAATTCATACCATCTCCCACATAAATTTCCCTCCCATACCTCCTTCCCTATCCTACTACACTCCATCATTTCCCAAATCACTTTCCCCCTCCACACCCCCTACATCCATTCCCCACACAAACCCAAACCAATTTCCATTACAACCTTCATTACCCCATCATAATATAACAATAAAAACATATTCACATCCCTAACTTACATCTAACCTACACCCCCCCAAACATCCCAATAACTTCTTCATACTTCTATCTCCATCTAATCCCCATCCTCCACCAACAATTAAACATTTCCCCATCCCCCAATCAACTTATATTACTTCCAAACTTCATTATTCCCAACAAATCTACCCTACCACATCCCATAATTAACCCCCTATCATTCTCCCACCATATTTTCCATAACTCTTTCCTACCCTATCTCATACTAACATCTTTTATACTTCTACTAAATATTACTTTCACCCCCCTATATACCAAATATCAATCCATCCACCTTCATCCATACTCTCAACCCATCTTCTCTTTCCCCTTCACTCCCCCATAATTACCACCCCTACCTTTCCCCAATAACCATATCGCCTACACCCAATTCACCCCCACCTACAACCACTCTCCCCTACCTCCCACCACCTACACTGTCAGATCCTATCCCCCACCCCCCCCAACACCTACCACATCCATCTTCACACACATTACTCCTATACTCCCTCTTCCCCACCTCACACCCAATCCCCCCCCCCCCCATATCCAACCCATCAACATATATCTACTTCCATTACTAAATAACCCTACAACTCTCTTACACCCCCCTTCATATTATTTTACACCCCCCCATCCATTCCCCACACCCCCCCTCCAACAACCCCCAATAAACCCCAAACCCCCCTACCTATTAATTTCCTTCCCCAAAAACTCATTCAACCCCAATCAATTCCCTTCAACCACATTTTCCCTTCTAACCAAAATCCTAACCCTCTTTCACCCTTCATCACAAAAAACCTTCTCTTACCAACATCCATCATAAAAACTGTCCACTTTCCCATAACCATCTCCCCTCTCCCATAAACCACAAATATCCTATACTTACCCCCCCATACCCTTCCTTCCCACATCCCAAACTCTTTCCCACACACATTCCCCCAATATATTCTCACCTCCACCATCAACAACCAAATAATCCTTAAACCTACACCCCCACTTTTCCCCCTATCTATACTTCCCCCCCCCCATCTACACATTCCATAATTCCCAATAACACCCTATCATATTATTATCACTATAAAAATCTACCTATACCCCTATACCTCTCCACCATATCTCCCACCTAGCCCCCCACATCAAACTTTCCACCCAACACTTTTCACCAAACTTTTTTACTAAACACAACCCCCCCCCCATAATCCCCACCACCCCCCTCCCACCATAAACTTTTCCCCCCACCCCCAACATACTCCCCCACCAAACTCTTTAACACCTATCCCCCTTAACACAACCCCCCCCCCACAACCAACCTCAAAACCATTCCCATTCCCAATTCCATATCCCCCAACCTAACTCCCACTTCCCAATGCCTAATATCCCCATACCTTACTTCCCCCAACTTCCCATTTTTCCCAAAAACCCCACATTACCCCTCAAAACCCCTACCTCCTTATCCCATTCTACCCTCCCCTACCTCCCCCATTATTTTCCCTTCTAACACCCCCCTACCAACCCCCTACTCTCAATTCTAAAACAACCCCACAAACCCAACCCATCACCCTTACCCTATATTATACCATTACTTATACAACAACCACCCCCCCAATACCAACCCCTATTATTAATATCCCCCCACCCCCATACCCCCCTCCCCCCTCCCATCACATCCCCTCCCCAACCCAACCCAACCCAAATCACCCAACACCCCCAAATACCAACTCCTTACCCTCTATATCCCATCCATATTTATTTTCCCCACCCTATCATTCCATCCACCCCCCTTACACCCACCCCCTCATCCCTCACCCAAATCCAACATACCACCCCCAAACACCCCCAATAACCAAACACACACCATACCACACTCCCCACACCCCCCCAACCATATCCCCCTCCATACCATACTTACATACCCCATACCAACCACTCCACCCGCCATTTTTTTCCATTACATTCCCATCCCCTCTACTCCTCAATCAAAATTACAAAAACACCTCCCACAACTCACACCACCTAATCACACAAAACCCTTTTTCCAACACATTTTCCACTATCACACCACCCACCCATCTCACTCACCCCCCCATAATTAAATTACAAACTTCTACCTCCAAACCCCCATTTAATTATATTCAACACAATACACATCCATATTTACTTTATTACCCTCCCCATAAACCTCCCCTCCTCCACCCCACCCTAACCACCTACTTATCACCCAAAAAAAATACTACACCCCATCAAATAACCAACTCTCACATCCCCTACCTCCACTCCCCTAAACCCCCACCCTACCTATACCTCAACCATTTTAATCAATAAAACACCCTTTCCCCCTCACCCAACTCAAATCAGCTAATTCCTACACATCATACCCCATAAATATCAAACCTAAAAAACTCCAAAACCCCCCAATAATCTCATTATCTCTTACCCCCCCCCCCTAACCCCAATTCACCCATATACCACCCCCCAATAATAACAAACACCCCCAATCACCCCTCTACCCTCTTTATACCTCCCCCTAACCTATAAATTTCTTTACCATCCCATCCCATCCCTTTTCCCCTTTCTCCTTTAAATCCCTTAATAACACCCCCTTATCATTATCTCCTTCTTCTTTTTCTATCCCTTATTTTACTCTTTTTTCCCTCTTACCCCTACCCTCCCCCACTTTTCACCTCTTCCCCCCCCCCCCATTTCCCCCTTACTACCCACCCTTATCAACCTACAACATAAATTTATAACATCCTACATTCCTAACTTCACCTACCCTATTCCCCTCCCATTCCCCCCCCACCTAACAACCCCCCCCCCTCCCCCTACCCTCTTCATCATACTCATTCACCACAATTCCTTCCCCCACCCTCCATAATCTTCCATACCCCCACTCACCCCTTCTTTCCAATTCCCCCTCCACCCCCCCCACACCTTTCTTCTATCCTTTCTGATTCACTCCCCCCACCCCATAAAACAACTAGCAACATCCATCATCCTAAACCATACTAACAATCCCCCCATCCCTCCATCCCAATTCCCTTAACATTCCTTTCCATCTCCTTCTTCTTCTCCTAATCTCCTTTCATTCCCTATCCACTTTCCCACCCTTCTATCCCTCCCAACCTCCTCTTCCTATTAACCCCCCTCATTTCCATCCACCCCACAACCTCTATTACTTTTTCCTCTATTCCATTCCTCTTTCCCCCCCCAACAAAACTTCTCCTCTCACCTTTTTCCTTCCCCCTCTTTAACCCCCCCCCTCCTCTTACCCTCTCCATATCCTCCTACCCCCCAATTCTCTTCTTCTCTTTTTATCTTCCACACCCTCACCCCTTTCCCCCTATATATCCTTTTATCATTCTCCCTATCTCGTTTCATTCACATTCATATCCATCATCCCTTATTCTTATCTCCTTATTATATCTATTCCCACTCACCCCCTACATATTCAATCACCCATTTTACCCCTACTTTTCCCCCTTCCCCACCTTTCCTTATTCCCTACAACTCATCTTCATCAACCCCCAAACTTTTTAAAACCCACTACGATTCAATTCACCCACCTCTCCCTACTATACCTCATCTATACCCTGTCAAACAATCATATTTTTCCTTTAATATATATTCTCTTTCCATCAACTCTTAATAGCCCTCACCTTCCCATTTCCCCTTCTCCCTTCATTCACACTTCCCAATCCTCATTCACTACAACATTCCCTTTCTCTACTTATACTCACATTTTTACCTTATCATCACTTAATCACATCCACCCTACATATACCCCACACATCCCCCCTCCTCACCTATCCCACCTCCTTTTACATTCATCCCACCCTCTCCATCAAACATATATTCCACACTACATCAATTAACACCCATACCCCCACCATTCTTATACTCCTCATTCCAAAAAACTATCTAACATCCCATTAGTCACTTACCCCTCAACCCCTTCTCAACCCCTTTTTTTCCTCCACCAAAATTATCCTTATCTCCCCAATCCCCTATACCAAACCCCAATCCACCTTACTCAATATAAATCCACATATCAACACTTTTGATTCCCCCATACTTTTCCACCTCTCACAAATCCATCACACCCCCATTCAAACACATCACCACCCCCCACCTCAATACTAACCCCACATACCCCACCCACCTCTCACCCATAATAATAAAATATACCACCCCCTTATCCCCTCTCCCTCCCCCCCCCCCCCCCCCCCCCCCATCCTACCCATCAACCATTCCACCCCTCAATTCACACACCCCAAACAACAACCCATACCCCAACCCCCCATCTATGAACTCCTTCGATTACCATATTATAATAACAACCAAATCTACACCACCCCATATCTACATATAACCCCCACTAAATATTTTCCATCACCCCACCTCCCCCCCTCCCCGGCCTCTCCCCTCAAAAACACCTCCTCGTCCCTAAACATCCTACCCCCCAAACTTATTTCTCCACTTCCTCTCCCCTTCCTCCTCCCTCACCTCATCAAACCTATTAATTCCCTCCACCCTACCCCATTCCATAAACTCCCCTAACTTCCAATTAAAATACCTTCCCATAACCAAAACATAAACATAACCTATATTACTGCCTAATCCCTACTATACCCCCTTACCCCCACCCGTTCTTACATCTTAACCATTCAATCTTCCTTCATTCTTACCCTCCTTATCATTATATAACCACACTAAATCCAACCAAAAAACCTACACTAGAATACCAACACCTTCATAAACCCATACCTACCTCCCATACCATCCTCTAACCATAAATTACATAATCCATATACACCCCAACACATTATAATCACCCCACATCCCACCTTCCCAAACCCACTTTGTCGCCTCTTCTTAACTTCCTTTCCATCATCGCCTCTTACTATCTTCCCTAATCCCTTCCCCCTCCCATTTTCCCCATCACTTCCTTCACTTTCACATCATTTCCTCTTTCCATCCATTTCCTTCACTTCCCCCCTTCACTTTCATCACTTTCCTATCATTCATTCTCTTTCCACTTTAATTCCCCCTCTCCCCCCACTAACCCCCACCCTCAAACCCACCCCCCAACCCCACCACAACCCCAACCCACAAACTACAATTATAATCCCATTTACCCCCCCTCCTATCCCACAACCTCTTCCCAAACCCCCCACCCCAATTCACACCCCCCCCCCCTTACCTATCAACCCCCTACCCCCCCCATCCCCCAAACCCTCCCCCCCCCCTCCCCTCCTCCCCATACACCATAATACTCCATAACCCTATACCAGAACAACCCCCCCCAACCAAACCATAATTCCCCACACATTCCCCCTCCCACCCATCACCCCCCCCCTTCCCCCACAACCCCCACCCCTATTACCCCTATTCCCCCAATTTTCTCCCAATTTCCCCCCCCCTTTATTTATCCCCCCAACTCATCCCTTCACTCTCATAATTATGTTCCCCCTCACAAAACCACCCCACATAAACCACCCTCCATCATCATTATCATTCAATCATATCTTCCCAAAACCTCCTCAATCCCATTAAAACCCATCCTCACCCATTTCTCCCCCCACCCCCTTCCCCCCCCCCCTCTACACCCCTCCCATTTCATACCTCCCCCTAGTTACTCACACTTTCCAACCCAACAACATACTCCTAACCCCCCAAATAACTCCCTTACTTTCATATACTCTCCTCCCCCCATAAATATAAACATACACCCTCCAAATACCTCCCATATCCTCCCCTCCTACATACTTCCCCCCCCTCACTTATTACCCCCAATTCCCCAACCCACACATAATATCCCCACAAACATTACCAAATTTTTCCAACAATACCATTTATCCACCATTTCTACCCACCATTATTCCTCATACATCCTAATTTTCATCCTACTGCCCCTACCCCACCTTCCAACCATATACATCTTTATCCCCCTCCATATCCTTTCATACACACACCCCCCTCAACCTCCCTCCATCCATAACACTCATAAAAAATAAAAAAAAAAAAAAAAATAAAAAAAAAAAAAAAAAAAAAAAAAAAAAAAAAAAAAAAAAAAAAAAAATAAATTATCCAATATATAACACAATACAATATACCCCACATCCCACTCATCCCTCAAAAATTCCCATCATTCTAACCTCTTACTCCCATATTCTATTTTTAACCATCTCTCCAAACTCCACAAACATTCCCTTCTCCCCACCTCCCAATAACTCCCTTACCTCCAACCAAAAAACAACATCCAAACCCAAAACCCCCACCCCCCCCTTCCCATACCCCTACCCCTCCCCCCCCACATAATCTAACCCCCCCCCACCCACCCCACCTCTACCCTCCCATCCATCTCCCAATTAAACCCAATTCTTAAAAATCTACACACACCCCTGACCCCCACATCCCACCCCCACACATCTCATACCCATCCCCCCAACCTCCCCCCCCCCTATATAATTATCCCTCATCAACCAACCCCTCAATACATCACTCCCATCCATACATATCCACCCCCCCCATCCAATCAAACAAATCACCCTAATACTCCCAACATATACAAATATAAAATACCCATATACACCAACACCCTCCAAACACATCACCCCCCCCCCCCCTAACAATCCCCCTACTACTACAACAACTAAACACACCCAAAACAATCACCTTTACACCACAAAAAACAATAACCTCACACTACCATCACCATACCTAACCAACCCCACTCACATAAACAAATCTTAACCACACCCTTCCAACCACCCCCCACCATTATTCACTATATCCCAAAACCCCCCCCCCCACCGATTACCCCCCCCCCCATATCCCCTACCCCCTCATCATCCCATACCAACCCCCCCACACCACCTCCCAAAAACCCCCCCTACTATCCATCCTAAATAATTTCCTCCTATTCTTACTTATCTTTTCCCTTTACATAACACCCCCATATACAACATCCAACCCAACATCCTAAACCCCCTCCCCCCCCCCAACCCACCCCATCATACCCCCTACTCTATCACACCAAATTACATAATCCACCCTATCAACTCCACCCCCCAATAAAAATCCAAAACATCCCATAAAATTTAACCCTCCCTCCCATCTTATTCCATCATATAACAAAAATTTATTTCAAAATTCTTCACACTCCCACTTACCTCATCCACTTTACCCAACCCCCATCCTTAAAACCCACCAACCTTCCCATCCCCCACCTTACAACCCAACCCCACCCCTCTACCCCAACAAAACCCCCCACCCAAAATACCCATACAATCCAAATCCCCCCCCTCCCCCACCACCCCCCACCAATCATCCAACACATCCACTTAACCCCACCACACCACCCCAAATCTACCACATCCATCTCCACCCATACACCAAACCCTCATACTCCACTACTCTCCATCCATCTCCTACCCCCAAAACCAACTTCAACAATCACACCAACAACAAACCCCAACACAAATACCCACCCACCCACCCCTAATAATAATATCTCTCTCATCCAACTATCTTCACCCCACCACCCCCACTATCACCATTTACCAACATCAACTAAATATCCCTTTCCATCCCATTCTCCATAATCACTAACCCCTCTATACTACCCCTTTCTATCAACCAATTCATTCACCTCATCCTCTCATCTCAATCTTATCGAACATCATTCATTTAAAATTCATAAATTCCCTACCTATCCCCCACCATACTTTCCCCTATTCTCCCATTTATTTATTTTCATCCTCATCCATTCTTCATTCCACATCCTCATTCCACCCATCATTTTCCATACATACCCCTACATATTCAATCCCACACCCACCCAACACCCCCCCCCCCCCCCCACCACCCCCCCACATACCCCCCCACAATTCCAAACAATCACCCCCCTTACCTCACCCATACCCCACCCCCCCAATATCATCTACAACACCCCTTTCCCACCTACTCCCACAAAACTACCACACACCCTATACCACCCAAATTCATACAAATTCATTAACACCCCTTACCACTAAACCAACCCTCATACACACCATATTTATCCACCTCTTATCCCACTCCTAACCACCCAATCTCCCACACTACCACCAACTCCACCTATATTTCCATTACTTCATTAACTAATCCATCTCATTCATCCAGCTTTCCCATCTCATATATTTACCCACATAATTTTGTTTTACCCTTAACCCCAAATCCCCCCCTTTTTATCTACATACCTTATAACTATCTCTCAAATCAACCCTCACCTCTTATACTAACTAACCAATCCATTCCAACTATAACCCCCATCCCCCACAACTACACCCTAAATCAATCCACATAATATCCCCAACCTCCCCATACCCCACCCTTCAATCCACACTTAAATAATATATCTACATCCCATCCCTAAACAACATCTACCCTAACCCCCCCCCCCCCCTCCCATCCATTCACCCCATAAACCCCTATCACTCCCTTCCCCCAATAATTACAACCCCAATCCCAATCCCTTTCTCTCAACCCTAAATCCCAACCATCCTCATACACCCCCCCCCCTATAATAATTAATCCATAAACCAACCCACCACCTAACAAAAAATCCCAAATTATCCCATCACATCCACCCCCCCCCCCACCCTCTACACCACCCCCTTCTCCATCCATAAAAAACCACAACAATTAACTATAAATAAAACACACCCCTCGATTAAATGCCAATATCCAATTTCCCATACCCATACACTATAACCTTCCTCTTCCTCTCCCCATCCTACTCCCAAACAACCTATAATCCTATAACATACCCCCCACTACATATATCCACACCACACATACCCCCCCCCCACACCACCTTAACAACTCAACCCACCATCCATTTCATCCCTAAAAATCCGCAATCTAACATTTCCCACCACCAAACTACACCCCAAACCCCACCCCATATACAACCCCTTCCAACAAACTACACTAAAATCATCAACCTACCTCCCTACATTTCCCCCCACCACCCCCCTAAACCCATCAAAAATATCCAACATAACCTCCCCACCAACCTCCAACCTTCCCACAATCATAAACACCCAATCATCACCCATATCAATTCCTATCACCTTCCCACCAACCCATACCTATTCCCCACCTCTATATATCATTTCCCCCTTTATTCCACCCTCCATATTATACCAACATCCTCAACTTATCACCTAACAACCCCCACCTAAATTCACCCACCCCCACCACCAATTAAAATTCACTACCCTCCCTCCCTTTCTTCATCACACCTATTTTCCTACTAAATACCTACATCCAAAACCCAATCATTCACACAAGTACTTCACAACCCTATCATATACACATTTATATAAACAATAATCTAAAATTTCCATCCCTTTCACTTCCTAAACTACACATACAACATCAGTTACACTTACCACCCCAAATAAATACCCAACCCCATCCCTCCCATTCATTAAATCAACACTCTCTACACCTCTATATAACCCTCCCAACAATCTTCTCCCATATCAACAATTTACACACCATATTTATAAACCCCACTATCATCCCCCCATTATTCTATCCACTTATACCCCGATTTAATAATCCTCTAATTTCCTATAATAATCTGCTTTTCTATATGTACAGAAATTTTCCCCCCTCCCTCATTTCATTTTTAATAACACTGGTCCAAAAACCCTTCTACCCCATGACCTTTTACCAATTTATCTGTTTTTCTTACCAATAAATTACCCAATTTATTCCCATTTTTCAATATCATCCATACTCATTATTTTATTTCACTGTTAAATTCATTCCTCATGATATTGCCTTCAATTATTTTACCCCTTCAACCCACTACTCAACATTTAATATACATTTAAATTCTATACTATTAAAAATTCTTTTTACAATGTGATTCGTCATATTCCCCCCTAGCCGCTTCCATTCGCCTCTCATTCCTATCCATTCCCGATCCGTCCGTCCTTCCTCTCCTGCCCTGCCGTCCTATCACTTCCCTATCCGTTCCCTATCCATTCCTCGTATCTTCCGTTCTCTTTCCCCCCCACACATCCTCTTCATCCCCTACGTCTTACCTTTTCACTGTTCACCCATATAATATTCCCAATAATCCATATATTTAAACTACCACATTACAAAATAAATTATCACATTAAACCCAACCTCACAGCACATCATTCATACTAAACACCTTCTAATGATCGTCTTATTTTACCCCCCGTACATACACAACCATATTACATAATCATTACTCACCCCCCCACCCCTATCTTATTACTAACAGCCTCCATTAACTCCATCACGCCCACTACCCTTTATTATCTTCTATAAATCATACTTTACACCCATTACCACCCTTACCATTACCCTAACTTTCTCCGTATTTACGAACATCCACCCATCCGTACCTATTCACCCCTTTCCCATGGACAAGTTTCTTTCTCTAAACACCCATGTACTACCCTATAGTTTACTTTCTATCATTACGGTCTCTGTAGCCCACAACTCACACCATCAAAGTTTCTTCCTTATCCTGGTCCACTGTCTTCTTAGTCTTATCTTGCACTTTTGCTTTACGGGCTTTATATTTTCCGGCCCCGTCCACTCAATTTTACACATGAAAAATGAGAATTTATACATTGCATACTCCAACAATCAGAATCCCTCCATATACACCTTTTTTTTTTAATTTTACATATAATCACATAAATTAGCCAATCATATTCTATCCTTAATGCCCTACCATCCCTTGCATTCATTTTCCTATTAACTACACCATAACCCACATTTTCTCTCTAATAAACTTTTATCATAAAAAAATCAATAGTATGTTTTCACATAATTCATCAGTTGTAATCCTCCAACTTCATCTACCCTACTTCCCCCCCCTACGAAGCACATCTGCCACCCCAATCTAACGTATTACCCATTAATCGTATACAATTCAATGTTCTCAACCCTGACACTACTACTCCTACCCTTTTATCTCCGTGATATGACCGTGTTTGCCACCCCAATTGCCTAACAACTCAAAGCCGACCATAGATCTCACCACATAGAAGTCTGTAGCAACACTCGATCATCTTTATACCCCAACCAATTATGACTTCTTGTATGTCATCCATACATTCTTCTTACCATATTTTCCCAATATGTTTCCCCATACGAATTTCTCTCACCACCATCTCTTCCCCATTTTTACACCTCATCTCCCCTTAATCCCTCCCACCCCTATTCCCCTCCTTCAACCCCTCTTCTCCACCCCATCCTCCCTATTCCCATACCCCATCTACATTCCCCCCCTCACATCTCCCCACACCCCATTCCCACCCCCCTTCCCCCCCACTCCTTCCACCATTCCCATCCTCCTACCCACACATCTCTCTTCCCCCCTTAACCCTCTCCCTTTTCCCCCTCACCACCCTTCCTCCCTACCACTTCTTCCCATCTCCTTACCCCCTTCCCTTAATTCCATAACCCCCCCAAAATCCCCCCCTATCCTCCTCCACCTTCCCATTTTATACTCTCTCCCACCCACCCCACTCCTCACCGCCCACCCCTTTACCTCCTCCTCCACCCTCTCCCTCCCCTCACCCTCCACCCGCCTACCCTCTCCCCCCTCTATTTACTCATACTCATCTCCTACCTCCCCCCCTCACCACCACACCCATATAACCTTTCCTCACCTTCCATTACTTCATACTTCTCTTCCCCCCTATTAAACTACCCCCTCTCTCAACCCTCTTCTCTACCACTACCACACAACTCCCTCCCCCCAATCAACAAGTATCAACCCACTATATCCACTATCAACAAACACTCCTTACCCACTCTTAAAAACCCTTCTCAACATACCCTCATCAAACCTTACACCCACCACATAAACCTTCCTTCATAACCCCCCTAAACCCCCTTACTATATCATATGTCCAACACTCCATTCACTAACCTCCCCCTACCTCCTACCTCTCCCCCCCATAATAATTTCACATATACCCCACCCCCAACCCTCCATTCAATAACTTATAAACAAACATTACCCCCCTCCCTCTTACCCTCCTCGGTATCAATCCATCAATACATACTATTTTATTTCTCATCCCAATATTAACCAGTACCCATCTCACATAACACCATATTCAAATTTACACCAAATCCAATAATTCCACTTACCCCTCCTCCACATACCCTTACCTCAACACCCAACCCTCACCTTAAATCTTTCCTTAATCATTACACCAATGCCAATAATAACCCATCTTACCCTCTTTTTTCTTTTCCATAAACCACATCTCCCCCACTTACCCCCCCCCCCTCAATCCCCCCTCCACCATTCTCCCCCTCACCTTTATCTTCCCCCCCCGTATCACACCCAATCCACCCATAACCTATATTCATTTCCTTAACCCAGTCCCCCAACCCATCACCATATCCTTACACCAAATCCCATGTAATCTCCTTACCACCCCTCTTATAACACAAAATCTGCCCCATATATTTCATTTTTATAACCACTCCACCCTCCCTTCCAACCATATAATTAACCTCATAACCCCACTCACTCCACACCCCTTCCCTCATTACTACGTTCCCCTCTATCCCCCCTCATACATAATATTATACCCATTATCAATCCAATCCCACCCCCCATCCACTCCACATCCTTAAATAATACACCTTCAATTCTACCATTCATTCACATATTATTACCCCATACCTTTAACAACCAAATAAAATCCACATATACATCTTTCAAAACAGCCATACATTCATCAACATTCTTTCCCAAAAAACCTTCTCCATCCTATCAATACTCAATCACCCCCACCAATAAAACCAACCTCCACCTCCC